GCTCTGAAGATCAACAAGACATTTTTGTAACGCTGCATGAAAAATGAACGTACAACTAAAATCGTCAAAACGTTCCAGGATTACGTTACGGAATTTTGAGGATTACGTTACGTAAAAAAAAAAACACGACGTTCAGAACACATCTCCGCCGGGTTCAGTTGTAGGAACGTTGAACAAACGTTGTCGTGTCTTATTTTTACAATACCGTGGCTACGGTAGCTCTGTAGCTACAACGCTAACCAGTCGTGTGTTTACGGTAAAGCTTCAACATCCTGTAAACATCTCCCGGGGTTTCTCTTTCATTCTGAAAAACGTAGACGCCTTGATATGTTTGTTTATTTATTTTTTTATTTTTTTATTTATTAATATTATTTTCCATCTCTCTTTCGCTCTATCCGTATCGTTCATGTTTTCCCGCAGGGACTGTTGTGATGAAAAACAGTATATTTTCCCCTCCAGACACGGAGTCCTCACTGCACGCTCTCAATCCGAATCAATTCACCTCTTCGCAGTCGATCAGCTTTACCGCCTCCAGCCTCCTCCAAATCCCTCCTTTCATCTCCGTCCCAAACCGCAGCCATGTCTCCTGCTCCTGAAGCGTGAGCGCGGTGTGAATGAAGGGTTAATAACGGGTGTGAGTGTTTAGGGTATGATGATAGCTAATGGGATTTGGTGCTTGGGAAGGGGAAAATACAGAGTTGAGGATAAAAGACAGTTCCTGACAGCTTCATTTCCCCGAAGCCCAAACCGCTACGCCGTGACGCGAGGCAGTCGGTGGTCTGGTTATTTCAGACGGATAATCCAAGACGAGATGGACGTTATAGACGTGATACATTTGTTCGATGTGGATTCTCACTTCTACTTGACAGGGTTATTCGGTGAAAGGTCAGAAGATCAGGGGTGTACGACGAGTAGATTATTAGTTTATTATTCTCCAGTGGAAACGCTGGAGAAAACGCCGTGTCACAATCGAGAACGTTAGGTGAGGATTAAAACACAGCCGAGAACGCTCTTACGGGAAAATCATCAACAACAACAACAACAACAATAAAGCATACAGCCTAACGGGTTTCTGTTACCGGCGCTAAGGTGATCATTTCCCTATACATATACACAACGCAGTGCTATTATTACCGTGTGGAACATCATGGAATTATTCAAAATACTCCGGAAGTGAAACGATTATCGATTAGCGACGTCCAAATATGGATATTCGCATTAATCGCTAAAGCATTTCCAACTGACAGCAAACACCGCTTGTGATTTTATCCGAAAATTGAGGGAAAGTTCCTCGTATTCAGAGTCGGGTTACGCACGGGCCAGAGGGGATCTTCTGAGCTCCACGTTGACCGAGACCAATTTTATCCATAAATGATTCACTCCTCTAGATCAGCGGTCCCCAAACCCCGGTCTGCGGACCGGTACCGGTCCGTGGGTCATTCGGTACCGGACCGCACAGAAAAAATAAATAATTTTATTTAATTTTAAAAGTTTTATTTATGATCTGGATCTGAAAAATGAGCGGATTCTCTCCGTTACATCCTTCTACGACTCACTCTTGACGCGTGTCAAGACGCTTGTCTCGGTCACGTGATACTTTGAAACGTTACCGTAGAGACCAGAGAGCGTTAGGGGGGAGAGACGATGTTACGAGGACGCTGCTAATAAAGTTGTGATTTCACATTGGATTCACGTTTATTATTAGATTTTAAAAATCCCCCAGTTTTTATGCCGGTCGTATCGTTTTATTTGGTTGTATTTATCCGCCACAGCTTAAAGGCCGGTCCGTGAAAATATCGTCTGATATTAAACCGGTCCGTGGTGCAAAAAAGGTTGTGGACCGCTGGTCTGGATAACCCACGTCTTACAGACTTTACAGTGTCATATTTATGTCTATAATATTGCCCTCGAATCATACTCCATGGTGTTCTGGAGTGTATTTACAGATGAAATATTCACCTACTGTACTGTGAAAACAAAAGGAGCTACCAGAACATCTCGTCAGCGTGGACGTCGGTGTGAGAGCGAGGGAGATCAGAGGAGAGGAATAAAGAAAAAGAGAGTGAAATGTTGTTGGCAGAGTCCCACAGGTGTAATCCTTCAACCTGTTCACACCTTGGCTATTTCTGAAGCTCTCAGCTCTTTCTGGGCCACATCCTCCATTACAAAGCCTCTGGAGGTTCAGATGAACACTTCGCACCTCCGGAACACTCCGGCGTTTCTGAGCACTAATTTTACAGCGCAGTGTGAGCTCGGCCACAGCAGGGCTTATTTCCTCCTTCGGAAGATACGAAGCTGTAGGTATATGCGTGCGAGTCGTTTCTAACAAAGATGTATCCGTTCAATTTGAGGCTCTATGGAGCCATGAAGGTGATTCATACGTGGAGAGATTCAGCGCAGACTCGGACGTGCGATGAAACGAGCGTGATAGACAGCTTCGTTCTTTCACACGGGATCTGTCGGTTCTTTTACTATTCAGTGAGTAGAGCAGCCCGAGGTCCTGATCCATCATCGACACGCTCCACCACCACAATCACCCCCACCACCAACCCCCACCACCAACCCCCCACCATCACACCCACCATCACACCCACCATCACCCCCACCACCATCACCACCCCAATCACCCCCACCACCATCACCACCCCAATCACCCCCACCACCATCACCCACACATCATCACTCCCACCCACCATCCCCACCATCAAACCCCACCCCCACCACCACAATCACCCCCACCACCAACCCCCCACCACCAACCCACCACCATCACACCCACCATCACACCCACCATCACCCCCACCACCATCACCACCACAATCACCCCCACCACCATCACCCACACATCATCACTCCCACCCACCATCCCCACCATCAAACCCCACCCCCACCACCACCATCACCCACACCATCACCCACACCATCACCCACACCATCACCCCTACCATCACCACTGCCTCCACAACTCATCTTTTCATGTAGAAGCTCAGGTGTGACATTTCCAAGGGATGAAACACAACACACACACACACACACACACACACACACACACACACACACACACACACACACACACACACACACACACGACATCCCCATTGATTCCCCAAACATCCCCTGAGCAGGGTTCTTCTGGCAGGTCCTGTTGTCAGGAATGTCTGTTTTGAAGATGGAGAGTCATGAAGACAGAAACAGTAGCCGCTTTTTCATGACTAAATAAACAGAAATGTGTACAAATTGAAGTGAACCCTATCGGTGCAGTAGCACTCCTAACAGAGGATTTTCCATAAAGCTAAAACACTGACGCTGAACCACAAGGATCTATGGAGGACATCTGACTTGGCTTCTGTTTCCTTTCGTCCATCTTTCATTTCTCTTCTGACGTTTGACCTCAGATCCACGGCAGTGAACGAGGAGAAAACAGACACTCCATCATCCAACCTCATGAAGATCATCAGGACTGAACCTTCTACAGGAAGTACTGAAGTGTCTGGTTCTCCATCGTTTCACTGCTAATCTGATCTATAGGACGTTACAGAACGTGTCGGGATGATCACCGCGATCGTTGTTAGGCGAGCAGGGGCCACGTTTTCCTCTGGAACGCTGTAAATATTTCTGTCAGCAGGACAAAGCGGCTCAATATCACTTTGCCGAAACGCGACGTTGACATCGATACCTCCGTTCCACCTGGACGAGTTCTGATGGGCCGAGGAAATCCGACCAGAGAAAATCGTTCAGCAAGTGCACTCCTCAAGCTATATTTATACTACAGTCGTGTGTGTGATCCACCCTAAAACATTGATCAGGGGCTAAAGTAACAGTCTCTCACACACACACACACACACACACACACACACACACACACACACACAGGTTATTTTTAACATCTGGATTGAACTTTTAGAATGTACTCATCTGTAATGTACATCATGGTTTTGTTTTGTTAAGTGATTTGGCCGGTCAGCTCACTCTCTGAAACTCGTGCTTCTTTAGCTTTGCACTGGAGCTACACTTCCTTGTTTTTTGGTGGTCCCTTACAAGGTTCTCTGTAGAACCCAACAACCCTTAAATATCCCGTTTGTTCTAAGAAAAAGAAGGAGAAAAGAACAGCCCGCGTCTTTCTCTTTGAGAAATAACACTCTGGAGTCTCTGGAGTGCGACTCCCAGGGGAACCGACTCGGTTCTTCTGCACTCACTCCTTCCCCTGAGAACATGGAGATATTCGGGCTTTAGTGCGCATGTAAGAACCACTGCTGACCCTTCGGTTGTAGCTCTGGAGAAAGCTCCAGAAGAACTCCGGTGTTCGTGCTTGGTCACGTTCAGAGGTTTGTTAACTTTTAAGAACCGATAGCTGCTGTAATGTGAGCGAGAACTGGAGCTACGGTTCGCAGGACATTAAATGGAGCTAGAACCGGATCAAAAAGCATGACGTTCATTAATAAATAGGGAAACGTCATCGTCGGGGTATCGCCGTGGTGTAAGTGGAATAAAACACTCGGGGGCAGTACAGTGCCTCCGCGTCATCACACCACCCCGCTGTTGGTTATTTTTACCGTAGCAGTGTTTATTACTTACATATCTCACAATGAGCGTCGCTGATTTCCTCTTAATGTACTGTCTTACACACAGAAATCCTCCAGCTTCTTAACGAGTCCTGCTTCGCTTCATAATCACAGGAGAAGTTCCGCCAGTGGCGGTGCTATAAAGAGCGAGCCGCTCGTACTGCGAGGCCGAGTCTACAGCTGATTTCAGCACTGTGCTGGGAGTCTATGTAAATAAATAAATAAATAAATAAATAAATAAATAAATAAATAAATCGAAAGTTGTTTTTAAAAAAAAAATTACTGTAAACAAATCTCTCGCATCACTTCGACCACGTAACGGAAAATTCCCAAAGCGCGTTTATGATGTTTCTGAAAAATATGTGTAATGTCTTCAGACTTGCTGAAACCCATCCTGCTGGTGGAACGATCACACGGCTCCAACCTCAAGCGCTGCTTGTGATGTTGGGGGCGTTGTGGTTAAGGTTCTCCGCTGGAGACTGGGAGGTCATGGGTTCAAATCTCAAGACGTCTCGGAGCCATTTGAGGAAACAGTGCATTGTAGTCCTCAGTCCTGACCTTGCTTTGGGTTCTGCTTCGCCTGTAAATATGTCGTTTCAACCCGGGTTGGATATGAACCAGTAAACAAAACACTAGTGTGTGTGAGAGAGAGAGAGAGAGAGAGAGACAGAGAGAGAGAGAGAGAGAGAGAGAGAGAGAGAGAGAGAGAGAGAGAGAGAGAGAGAGATGGAGAGAGAGAGATGGAGAAGAAGGCATGGAATGAAGAAAAGGAGTCGTATCACACTGACGGATGTTTTAAGACTCGGTGCGTTCCTGGAAGATGGTGTAACATTGGAGAGCCCGAGGCAGTCGGAGGTACGTGCGGAGATTCTTTATCAGCAGATATCTGAGAATCAGAGCCACGGCAACCTCCAGGTTTCAGAGGGATGAGGAGACAAGAACGGGAAGCAATACTGGCAGAAGAAAACGCTATAGGTACAAATTTACTGCCTCAAAAGATAGAAGAGTAGTCTTTTGGATATAACATCTATCATGAGTTTTTCATACAGTGCTGTGAAAAAGAATTTGCCCCCATCCTCTCATACTAAATTGTTTCGGAATGTAAAATAAAGGATAAAGATAAAATAGAGGCAGTCTGTGTGAACACAAAATACAGTTTTTATATTATAATGATGATGTTATTTATTGAAGCAAAAAACGTTACCCAATACTGGACAACTGGGCCTGTGTGAAAATGTATTTGCGCCCGTAGTTCCTAATTCCCCAAATCTATGAAACTCCAAAGAACCACAGCGAGAGACATTATCTCCAAAACGGAATAACTCAGCACAGTAGTGAACCTTCCCTGAAGTGACAAGACCAAGAAAAATTCGATCTCTGGTCCCCTCTGGATTTGAGATCATCACCTTTTGTTCTCTACCATGAGTCGTAACCACCAGAGCAGGAGCCGAAGAACCCGAAAGACACCAGGATGTAAAAGAAGGGTGGAGGTTCTGTGAGAGATCTTGATAAAATGGATGAAATTGAAGTTTTGATAGTGTTGAAGAAAAACTGAGATGTTTGTAGAAGAAGAAGAAGAAGAAGAAGAAGATTGCTGCATATACATTAGAGTATAGTCAAATGATATTCTTCACGTATCCCAGCTTGTTAGTAAGTTGGAGGAAATGGGGTTAGGCCTTGAGGGCCCAACAGAGTCAGCTCGGTGTTGCTGAGGCTTAAAACCTACAACCTTCTGATTAGTTACCCTGAGGCTTAACCTTATAGAACCTAAAAGAATGCTACTATAGATAGGGTCCAAAGTCTAGCAGCATTGGGACAAGTGCAGAAATGAAAAGGAGGATGAGAATAGATGGACCATCTCCCACTTGAGGAACCAGTTAAGAAGGGTGGAACTTCCCGGACCTCCACAATACCCGACTCATGTAAGAGAGGTCCGCCCGGATCACGAGCGCCTGTAGGGCTGATTCAGTCAGTCAGAAAATCCACACCTTCTAAACTCTGCTCGAAATTTTTCTACTAGTCCTCTTCAGCCTCGGTAAATCCTTCTCTCCGAATCTCATATTCCAGTCTCCCAGGTTGCTGACCCACATTGCACATGACAGCTTTAAAAAGGGCTTCGGACCCTGGAAGTCCACCATTTGTCATCGTTATGATTTTTGGAAGCAGGTCAGAGATCCAGGGGGAAGTGCAGAAGACAGAGAGAAGAACTGTTCTTTCCCCCACGCTGTGTAAATCTCTCAGCCGTCAGTCACGCACGACCCTGAGATCCCGCGGCCGGAAGGTCAGAACGTGTTGTTATTTCTCTCTCCAGCTTCCTCTCTTGCTGTCTTCTTGTTATTTAATTTTTACCAGCTGCTCTGATCTAGGGCAGACAGCGAGGGAGAGAGAGAGAGAGAGGGGAGGAGGAGAAGAGGAGAGAGAGAGGAGAGAGGGAGAGAAAGAGAGAGAGAGAGAGAGAAGAGAAGGGAAGAGAGAGAGAGAGAGAGAAAAGAGAGAGAGAGGGAGAGAGAGAAAAAAAGAGAGAGAGAGAGAGAGAAAAAAAAAAAAAGAGAAAAGAAAGAGAGAGGGAGAAGAGAGAGAGGGCGTTTTACAGTTCAATGCTTCCTACTGAGACGTTAATCAACATAACGAGTGGCTTCTCTTCAGTGAGGGTCAAAGTGACCGTTTTTAATGGAACAATATTGTAAATGATGTTAGATGAATGTCTTCCGCTCAAATGGAAGTTAAACATGCATCTCAGAACCGTATTTCTATTAGAGACAGAGAGATTCTGGTCCAGATGTTCTGGTCATTCTGACCCTGAAACTAATAAGATGGAAGAAACGTGTCTGGAGTTTACTGCAGTTAAAGAAAATAAAAAATCCCCTTTCTCGTATTTCGACTCCCACTCGCTGCTCAGGAGGAACTCGGAGCTCGGAGCTCGGGACGTGGTTCTGGAGCTGTTTATACAGATCATTCCTGCAGATATTCAAATAAACGCTGCAGTAGTTTTGCTCTAGAAACTAAAATCACTTCATGTACGATTGTGAAAGAAGTTCGTTCCTGTTCTCGCTTACGTTACAGCAGCTATAAACATCCCCGATCCTTCACCAGCCCTCTCTCTATTCCCTTTCTCTCTATTCTCTCTCTCTATTCTCTCTCTCTATTCCCTCTCTCTATTCTCTCTCTCTATTCTCTCTCTCTCTATTCTCTCTCTATTCTCTCTCTCTCTATTCCCTCTCTCTATTCTCTCTCTTATTTCTCTCTCTATTCTCTCTCTCTATTCTCTCTCTTCTTTCCTCTCTCTATTCCTCTCTCTATTCTCTCTCTCTCTCTATTCTCTCTCTATTCTCTCTATTCTCTCTCTCTATTCTCTCTCTATTCTCTCTCTCTATTCTCTATTCTCTCTCTCTATTCTCTCTCTCTATTCTCTCTCTCTATTCTCTCTCTCTATTCTCTCTCTCTATTCTCTCTCTATTCTCTCTCTATTCTCTCTCTCTATTCTCTCTCTCTATTCTCTCTCTCTATTCTCTCTCTATTCTCTCTCTCTCTCTCTCTCTATTTCCTCTCTCTATTCTCTCTCTCTATTCTCTCTCTCTATTCTCTCTCTCTATTCTCTCTCTCTATTCTCCCTATTCTCTCTATTCTCTCTCTCTATTCTCTCTCTCTATTCTCTCTCTATTCTCTCTCTCTATTCTCTCTCTATTCTCTCTCTATTCTCTCTCTATTCTCTCTCTCTCTCTCTCTATTCCTCTCTCTATTCTCTCTCTCTATTCTCTCTCTCTATTCCTCTCTCTTCTCTCTCTATTCTCTCTCTATTCTCTCTCTCTCTCTCTCTCTATTCTCTCTCTCTATTCTCCTCTCTCTATTCCCTCTCTCTATTCCTCTCTCTCTATTCTCTCTCTCTATTCCCTCTCTCTATTCTCTCATCTCTCTCTATTCCCTCTCTCTATTTCCCTCTCTCTATTCCCTCTCTCTATTCCCTCTCTCTATTCTCTCTCTCTATTCCCTCTCTCTATTCCCTCTCTCTATTCCTCTCTCTCTATTCCCTCTCTCTATTCTCTCTCTATTCTCTCTCTATTCTCTCTCTATTCTCTCTCTCTATTCTTTCTCTCTATTCTCTCTCTCTATTCTCTCTCTATTCTCTCTCTCTCTATTCTCTCTCTCTCTATTCCCTCTCTCTATTCTCTCTCTCTATTCCCTCTCTCTATTCTCTCTCTCTCTATTCCCTCTCTCTATTCCCTCTCTCTATTCTCTCTCTCTATTCTCTCTCTCTATTCTCTCTCTTTATTCTCTCTCTCTATTCTCTCTCTCTCTATTTCTCTCTCTATTCTCTCTCTCTATTCTCTCTCTCTATTCTCTCTCTCTATTCTTCTCTATTCTCTCTCTATTCTCTCTCTCTATTCCATCTCTCTATTCTCTCTATTCTCTCTCTATTCTCTCTCTCTATTCTCTCTCTCTCTCTCTTTTCCCTCTCTCTTCTCTCTCTATTCTCTCTCTCTATTCTCTCTCTCTCTTCCCTCTCTCTCTTCTCTCTCTTTTCTCTCTCTATTCCCTCTCTATTCTCTCTCTCTATTCCCTCTCTCTATTCTCTCTCTCTATTCCCTCTCTATTCTCTCTCTATTCTCTCTCTCTATTCCCTCTCTCTATTCTCTCTCTCTATTCTCTCTCTCTCTATCTCTCTCTCTATTCTCTCTCTCTATTCTCTCTCTCTATTCTCTCTCTCTATTCTCTCTCTCTATTCTCTCTCTCTCTATTCTCTCTCTCTATCCCTCTCTCTATTCTCTCTCTCTATTCTCTCTCTCTATTCCCTCTCTTTTTTCTCTCTCTATATATTCCCTCTCTTTATTCTCTCTATTCCCTCTCTCTATTCTCACTCTTTATTCTTAAAAAACAACAACGCAGCTTGTCACGTTACCGAGGAAGTGTAAAGAACCTCCTCTGTCCTGAAGAGGTCGCTATAAAAGTTACAGCGCTGACACTGGAGACTCCTTCCCATTACAGAAAACTTCACAACATCGTTCCGTTTACGTGTACACGTCCACGTGAATGAGCTGTCGCTATAGAAACGATAACATGCTATATTATAGGACAATTCAACACTCCCTGGCCAATCAGAATGCAGAATCCAACAACTGTGAATGTTGAGGATGCGTCAGTGCTTTTAAACAAAGAAACAAATAAACAAACAAATAATAAACAAACAAACAAACAAATAAATAAGCGTTTAAATAAATAAATAAATAATTAATTCTTTTTGAATGGAAAAAAGGTAATTATCCCTCTGTTTCACAATTTTTCAATCAAGTGCAGCCTCTCCGTCTCCAAAAAAGAGTCAATCCGTTCAAGAAAGACGTGTGTGTGTAATGTAATAATATAAGAAGAACATCATTTCCTCACTCTTAATATCTGAACACATTATATTTATCTGCCTTGCTGGCTTCATTCCGTTCCGGGGGTGTACAAACTTCTGCACTCGACCGCATGTCATAATCACGAAATGAAAGATTTGAGCCAGACCCACTGTACTGTAGCC